CCAAGCTGGAACTTGTCCCATTTACTTGTTTGTTTATCTTAGGGGGAGGGTTCGAGACAGGGTTTCTCTGTGTAGTCCTGGAACTTGCTCTGTAGACTAGGCTAGTCTCCAGCTCAGAGATCCCCCTGCTTCTGCCTGCCTTGGATTAGAACTATGTGCCAGCATGCTGGGCTGGTACTGCATGTCTCTCTAAGTGTGTAAAAGGATGTGTCCTCAGATAACATCTGTGGAATGAAGATAATATTAGGAAATTGCCTTGCAGCACTGAAGTAAAGATGACCTAATGTCATTGTTTACATTTAATCATAAAGTATTTATGAACCCCCAAATAACCAGCCAACCAACCCAAACAAACAAACAAACAAAAAACCCTTACAATTATCATCTAAAATACAGGTCCAGGACCAGTTGTTTTTTGTTTTTGTTTTTTTTTTTTTTAGACAGGGTCTCTCTATGTAGCCCTGACTGATTTGAACCTTGCTATGTGGACCAGGCTGGCCTTGAACTGACAGAGAGCCACCTGCCTCTGCCTCCTGAAGGCTGGGATTAAAGATGTGTACCAGCATTGTCTGGTATCTTTTAAATTAATTTTTAAGTAATGTCTTGCTGTAGAGCTCAGGCTGGCCTGGGACTATTAACCCTGACCTGCCTTTTGCCCACAGAGGTAGTTTTTCTACTGAGGGTGCCGTTCTGTACTCCTGGTGGTTTACATTTAAATAAGGCTCTGGACCTTTGGAATAACTTCCCGGAGGCGCCTGATTCTTCACTGCCCCCAGGAGAGCTATTGCAGTTACAGAGGCTGAAGCGGACATTAGTTTTTCTACCTTGCAGGCGTGAGAGGGACCATAATTTTAGTGACCTGTTGGCTTTTGGGGAGAAAAGAGAGAGTGTCGCAGATGGCCAAGAGGCAGGAACTGAGAAAAGAAATGTGAAGAGAGATGGGTGTGCTGGAATCCAGGCCTTTAATCCCAGCCTTCAGAAAATGGATCTCTCTGTGTTAAGAGGCCAGCCTGGTCTACATAGGGAGTTCCGGGCCACAAGGCTGTATAGTGGTACTCTATCTCAAAAATAACAAAAAAAGATGTGATGAGGAACAGAGTAAAGCTAGCTTCTGAAAAACGACAGAAGACTGCCGTGGACTGGAGCTGCTAGTATAAGCAAGGAAGCAATCGTTTGGTTGGGAATAAAGACACGAATCGGAGGATTTAGAGTGAAAAGGCCTCTCTCCAGCCTACTTAAAGTGTGGTCTTCTCATCGAACCCTTGAAGATTTTGCTAGAGGGGCTGGGGAGAGAGCTCTGCCATTGAGAGTACTTGCTGGCTGCGCAGTGGTGGTGCACGCCTTTTATCCCAGCACTCGGGAGGCAGAGGCAGGCGGATCTCTGTAAGTTCGAGGCCAGCCTGGTCTACAAGAGCTAGTTCCAGGACAGGCTCCAAAGCTAAAACAAACAAAAAAAATTGATGGCGGCTATTCTGCCCCAGATCGCTTGTTTTTAAGGTTAAAAATGCAGACTCGCCAGAACTGTTTCGGAGGGGTAGACCGGGTATCTCGCGGAGGCAACCACACTACGAAGCAAAGAGCAAACACCTAATCCTTGGGGGGGGGCCTCCGAGTGTGACCCTTGAACTCTGACCCCGCGCCTCTCTCAGCGCTTCCGCGTGCAGCTTCCGCTCCCGCTCCTCCGGGAAAAGGCGGTCCCAAAGGGCGGGGCTTTGAGGCCGGCAGCTATGGAGGGTGCCTGCTTGAGGCGGGTCTCGCGAGGGGCGGGATTTGAAGAGGTATTCCCGATTGGGCTGCCGGGTGGGGGCGGGCCTGTGGCAGGCCCGGGCGGGGCGGGGCTGGGCGTTCGTTACCGCCTCTGGGTAACTGGACTCGGGCGGTCAAACCTCCGGGGGCCGGGAGAGGCCGGCGGGCTGGCAGCACATCCCGGATCTGGAGTCTCCCCCCGACAGGAGCGGAGTCCGAGGGGCAGCGGCTCCTAAAGCTGGTCCGTGAAGAACTTGGCGAACTTGGAATAGAAAATCCCGGAACCCGGCCATAAAATCGGAAAGTCCCGGATCGCGGAACGCAGCTCGCGGAGCGGACTCAACACACACAGCCCGAAGTCCGGATCGCTGCACCGCGGGACGGGACAGAGCGATGTCGGGCCGTGGCGCGGGCGGGTTCCCGTTGCCCCCGCTGAGCCC